CAGAATCCTGAACTATAAAAATGACTTTATATATTAGATATCTGAATTCATTTTTTATCTTCTAGAGGGCTGAAAATAATTTTGCTAAGAATATAGCAATCAGCAAAATTTCCAGTTTAATGAGTTTGAGGGCCTCCTATCCAAATGGTTAAGTTTTCTGAACATTTGTTTTGTTACTAGTAGGAACAATACTCATAAAACTCACATTTGGAACACCTGTTTTCTAACGTGACCAGACAGTTTTTGAGAATGCCTAATGCTGAGTAGTTTTATATCCCAGAGCTGTTCTCTGTCAACCAGCTTTTGTCAGGGCTCTGGAATACATTTGCACTTGACATAAAAATCTTGCAGAGTCTTTTTTTTAATTTAGCCTTGTACTATCTCGGAAGAGGAATACACATAAGACAAGGCAGATTACCTTTTCTTGCTGTAGCCATGTAGTGGCACCACCTCCTTCTGGGTTCTATCATATGGGGAGGAAATAACATTTCCCCTATAATTCAAGTGAAGTAAAGACTTGGCCTATTCATGTATGTATATACAGAAAAAAGTATATGAAGATTGGGTGTTTTTATCTGATTTTGCTTTAACCAATTCAGTACTCTTTTCATGTGGGACTTGAACTTATTGTATCTGATAATCATAAAAGTAGATTTAAGCAGAATCTATGATAAACTACTGAAATTTTGCATTTAAAGCAGATAAGCTAGAAAAAAGATCAGTGAACTTGCTTATTTAGTAGAAAAGTTAAATAAAATAAAGTAAAAGAATTATTTTGATTATAAGTAAAATAGAAGGCTTCTGAAATACAGACCAAAACATGGTAGTTCATGTGAATGTTAGATTTCCAACAGTGAGACTCAGTTTTAGAAAGAGGTGAAAGCTTAGTAAGCCTAGTATCATTTTAGACCTATCATAATTGTGTCTTAAAAGATACTATTGAGATTGACATTGGAGTTCATTTGGACTTCTTACGTAAATACATAATTTTAAGCCGTTCACTTGGTAGTATGGTTTTCTATAGTAGATTATTATAGCTTAAAGCTTAAGACTAGAGTAGAGAAGACCTACAGCTGACTTGATCAGGATTGAGGTTTGGCTGGGTAGTTACAGAGTAAGGAGAGAAGTGTGAGGGAGTTGTGGATATTGGTTGCAGTGAGATGTTAGTGAAGCCAGATAATTGGTTTAGCTAGAGTTAGGGAATGAAAGTGCTAGAATGGGAAATTGCTCTCAGAAGTTAAATATTTGAGGTGGGCTTGTTCTGGTTCAAGATGATGAGATCCAGGATATAGCAGTGAACAGCTAAAAGTAGGGAGAAGACAAAGGACTGTGAGGATAGGGGGTGGGGCGGCTAGGAGGAGAAAACACTCAGCCAAGTGCCAAATCTTTGGGGGATGTGAAGATCATTTCTGAGGGGAGGAAGGAGGTGGTAGGGCAAGAGTGGCCTACCATATAAAAAATAAAACGAGGTCTTAGTACCCACAGCTAATGGTGTGAAAATTATTGGCTTTGCATCATTGGGAGAGTTAGAATATATGTGCCTTGCCTGTGGACACAGTGGTATCTGAGACTTGACTTAATGCAGTAGGGGAGAACTAAGGTTCAGTAAAAAGGTAGAAGCAATGTAAAGCATTGAAGGTGTAAGAGACTTTGTTTACCATGGAATAGATATTTCTGGGAAGTTTAGGAATGGCGGCAAGCTGGGTCAGGAGGGATGAAGCAGAGGTATAATATGGGCATGAGAGGCTCAGTGACAGGAAGAACTTGAATTTGGGTAGCAGTCAACGATGACCTGGATGTGAGGCATGAGGGCTTCAGGTTTCCGAAAGGAACTCTGGTATAAAGTATTTTGTTTGTTTTTGATGCTAGCTGACAGATTGTTGGTGAGAAGCTTTAATCAGCAAAGACTGCTAATAGAATTGTGGTGGGAAAAGCTAACATTTACAACTTTCTGCGTGCCAGGCACAGTGCTGAGCTTTCGATGTGGATTATTCTACCTAATCTTTAGAATCATTTAAGGAGGTAGAAGTTGCGATGTCATCATTTAAGTTTTTTAAGTGAGAAAATGTAAAATGCAGAGAGATTATATGAATGGCTCTGGGTTATAATCTTGTTAATTAACTCTTGGAGTTGAGATTTGAATCCAGGCAGCATGAATTGAAACCCTCTCTGACCATCACTGTATCGCCTCCAGGACTTGAAGGGAGGAGGCTAGATTACTTCCTGGAATCCAGCCTGGCCTGTCATTGCTGGAAGATTGAGGCTGTCTTGTTGATTTTATATCAGGGGTCATGAATGACAACTGCAGATTTACAATTTTTAGTATTTAATTTATTTTTTCTTTTTGGTTTTGTCTGTATAATGTCATGAAATGCCTGATATACTCAGATAGGTAGTGGATAATGGTACAGTTTATTTAGAAAAATACATTTCCATGTGGGGATAATATTTAGTTAATTGGAAATAGGAGAAGCTGAAAATGAGTTAATGTGTTAATAGTCTTTGATATGTTAAAAGTTTGGTTCATTACATGTTTGAATATGCATTTTAAAATTATAGCTTTTTAAATAGTGTATGCATGTATCAGAGTCTGAAATACTGTGTGCATATATGTAACAATCTGAAATTCATCTATAGGAAACTTATTTAATAAGAATATATGATTTTTCTCTTGGTTGATATTTAGACCATTTTCAGACTTCTAAACTCCTTTTCCTTTAATATCTTTCCTCGGATAAAATGCTATTTAGCACTTGAACCTATTAATCTGGTACCTTATACTTGAAATTTACTGACTTCCCTTGTTACTAGGTAATTACTTTTGTGACCTGGACTGGCATGTGATATTCTTGATCCAGGGGAAAAGAGGACCTACCCTTATCCTCCTCTATCTCCTGTTATATATATATAGCTACAGATACCACCCTTGTAGGTCCTGCATTGTAAGAGTTCCCCAAAGCAGTTTATTTTATAATTTGTAAAGGCTAAAAGGGACCTGTTGAGAAAGTTTACCTAGTAGAGGTTAAGCTTTTTCATTTACAGAGTTTCCTAGGTTAGTTTCTCTGAACTCTTGTTTTCATAGATTTTGATTAGTTTGAGGCAGCAAACTACCTCTCTTTACAAGAAGAGAATTGGGAAAATAATAAAGCCAAGTTCGTGCTTCTCCCTTTCTCAAGAAGGAAAATAGTAGCAACAATAAAATAGTTGATATATTGAGCGGTCCACTTACTTACTGCGTGCCAGGCATTATGCTGTGCTCACATTGTTGAATTCTCACAACACAGTGTTATAATCATTACCGTCATTATTTTACAATTGAGGGAACGGTCTTAAAACAGTTAAGTAACTTGAACATATAAGTGGTGGAGATGGGATTGAAACTCACAGAATGTACCAGAATGGCTCTGAGCATAATTTTGAACCAGATTATCAGTTGGGAGTTGGGCAGAAGATCATTGGTGATTTTTCAGTTCTTTTTGTCCACATTAAAAAAGAGAAATCCTATACACACACACACACACACACACACACACACACACTATAGAATGTGTTCATGAACATATTTCTTTTCCATGCTGCGGATTTCTGGGAAATATGATTAAATTTAGACACTGTGCTGCACTTTCAAATCCTGGCCATTTGCCGAGGAGCATGTCTGGGACTGTGGCTGAGAGTGGAGCCCCACAGGACATAGCTGCCTCAGCTGAATACTGGAGAAAGGGTGTGTGTGTGACTATCATCTCCAAATGGTATTAGGGGCTGCCAGGCCTGGCATGGCCTTTAACTGCTGCAACGTTCCTGCCTCGGGTCCCTGGGTTGGCTCTGCCTCTGGCTCTTGTGGCAGCTGGGAGAAATAAAGGGCTTCCTGTTTGAGCTTGGCATTGCAACAGTGACTAGAGGCTTTCTTTCGTCTTTTTTTTTTCTACTTATAGTTGCTTGACTCTGCCTATTGTGACCTCTGACTTCTGTGTATTTAGAGTCTCGAATAAGACTTTAGATTGAAAAGAATTTTAAACGTTATGTGCTTCTACCTCCTAACTTCTCACTTTATAGGTGAGTAAGTTGACTCACTGACATGAAATGAATTATTCAAAGCCATGGGACTAGTGGCCAGGACTAGAAGCCAGTCTCATGACTAGTGATTTTTTTCTCCTGTTACAAAATGACTTGTACCTCTCTATGTCTTGCTTCCAATTTCTTATTTGCTCATCCTGATCCTGGCTTGTCACCTGTCTTCTTGATCCCTTGGCTTTGCATCCTGCGCTGATTGAGGGAACAGTTGTTTGTTGGTGTTAATCTTATCTTTGGGATTACTGTATGACCCCTGGTAAAGTCATTTTGAGCCTCATATAATTATCAGCAGATTAAGGAGGACCTTATCAAAGAAGTTCTTGAGGAAATATAAATCATGTGAACTGGTGATGTGTTTTATTATTACTTTTAGAAAATGTAATGAAAACGAAGAATATAGAAAAAAAATGAGGTGATAAAGATGTCATGCTGAGTAGGCCGAACAAGGACTCTTGAGGAAACTGAAGAGACTTTAGGTCAAATTGTTATGTAATGTAGTTAATTGGAGAGAGTACTATTGTCCTTTGTTTTTTACACCAAATACCTGTTGTATCCAATTCTGTTCTGCAGGTGGCAATGTAGATTGATTTGAAAGTTTTGCTTTTGATCCATTGGAACTTGTAGAAACATTTGCTTAACTTGTTTTAACAGACCTGATTAGTAAATAGGAATGTAGATTTTTAATGCTGTGACATTTGGGTGTAATTTAAAAGAAAGGTGCTTGGGTTTAATCTGACTTTTTCAGTCTGTTAACCTCTTGGAAGCTCAGTTTCCCTAGATGTAAAATGGGGAAAATATATTTAGCTTACAAGTTAGAGTTATGTGGACTAAGTAAAATAGCACTTGTAAAGTGCTTGGTGCATAGTAGGTTCTTAATCTGACTTAGCTTCCTTCCTTCCTAATGGTTTAATACTTTCCATTATGTTTAGATATCTGATATCCATGTTACTGGAGAATCAGAGGACATGTCTGCAAAAGAGAGATTGCTGCTTTGGACACAGCAGGCAACAGAGGGTTATGCTGGAATACAGTGTGAAAATTTCACTACCTGCTGGAGAGATGGAAAACTATTTAATGCCATCATTCATAAATACAGGTATGGAATTTGTGGGGATTTTCCCTTGACAAATATGAGAAGTGTTTCATTCCCAGATTTCAAAATAACTTTTATTATGAGAGAAGCAATCCATATGCATGACAGAAAATTAGAAAATATTGACAAGTAAAATCATCACATTTCCATCATACAGAGATCCTCCCTCTCAGCTCAGTGCACCAAGGCAGGCGCACACACAGCTGCAATATGTCTTTGGCTGGTGTCAGTAATTTAGCAGATAGTAAGCTCTTATATTTAGACTCTTCTGGTAGGTAACCAAGTTTGTATAGATAGAGAACCGATGAATAGTAAGTATATAGGTTTAGTTCAGACTTAGAGCTCACAAGTTTTGGAATCATAGTCTCCTAGTCTAGTTACTCTGGTGAGTAGCAGGGTTTAACAGTGGTCAATTTTGGGGTGGTAAACAGTTTCCCGTGAAAATTATTAACAACTAAATCAAAGTTAACACTTACATAACACTAAGTGCCAGGCACTATCCTAAGCAGTTTGCATATATCAATTCATTTAATCCTCACCACATCCCTAAGGGAACATCATCACTCCTAGTTAACAGACAAAAAATTGAGACACAGAGTAAATATGTGCTTAAAGCCACAGAACCAGCAAGTGGCCTTGGGATTCAAACCCAGGCACTCTGGCTCTTGAGTCCGTGCTCTTACTGCCTTATAAGAAGCTAACTCTCCAGAAAATATTTGTTGAAAGCTATGTATTTCTTGATCTCAGTTATTTTTCTTAGTTTTTCAAAGATTGTATCATATTGTTGAAGAACTGAATAACTTCCTAAATAGAGTAAACCTAAGCTATAACTCACGAAACTGTCAAACTTATTTGATTAGAATAAAAATAATAATTATATAGAATAGTTAATATTTTGATAACTTTTGATATGTGAGGTATTCTGTAAGTTATCTCATTCATATTTTCCAATAGTCACATAAAGCAGGAACTATTATTATCCCACTTTTACAGATTAAAAACCTCAAGTTTGGCAAGGTCGCACTGCAAATAAGTTATAGAGCTATGATTCTAACCTTGGTCTGTTTGACTTGAAATCCTATTCTCCTACTCCCCTCTCTTTTCCCTTTTTTCCATTCCTTTCACTCCCCTACTCTCTCCCCTTCTTCTCTCTCCCCCTTTTGTTTTGGAAATTTTAACATCTGTAAAACTGTAACGACTCTCCTATGTATCCACACCCAAGAGCCCCTTTTAAAAACTGTAATAATCTGCTTCCTATATGAAACAACAAGTCAGTAGAGGTAGGTGTAGGTTGCTGAATTAAAAAGAAAAACCAAGATCAACTTGCCTGCACTTGTCCAAAATAAAGAACCAGATCTCCCTGGGTAACACAATGCCAAGAGGGTTTAGTGGTTACAGACATTGTGATTATCACACTGTACTTCTCATGTGACTTAAAACATAAGGCAATCAGAAGGCTGTGTAGCTGAGCACATTCTATACCCAGGATGATAAGATCTTCTGGGTCTTTGAATAAAAATATTTAGATTGTTATATTTAAAGGATTTATGTCATGATGCATCTTTGAGAGTGTGCTGTTTGAAGTTTTTTAGGTAGAAGCAAAAGTATTTAGAAGCCAGCTGTTCTTCTAAAATAAATGGCTTATGAAAACAATGGTCTCTAGGCATTGTCTCTATAACACTTATGAAAAATTGTAAGTACAAATAGGTATATACATGCCATGCATTTTTCTCCTAAGTACTTAAATAAATCTATGTATATGTCAAAGATCCTAAAATTTCCTAGGGAAGTTTAATGTTATAGAACTTATATTGCTTTAGGAGAGAATTTGGATCTTTTGAATGTTATTTGTTTTGAACATTTATTTTGGCAGAGTGATCATTTTAGAAAATTATTTAGCTTTTAGTTCTGCACTTTGATTTCCTAGTTTGTTTTGTTTTCCTTTGTTAGAATTCATGGTAAAAATACTGAATATCAGGTTTTAGTGCTTACGGGACTTCTTTGTTGCTTAACTTTTAAGTTATGTTGTGCCTTTTAAAATATTACTGGTTTTTTTTTCCACTAGAAGAAATTTTTCACTTGTAGAACTGTATTTTTAGTTAAAATCCTCAGGCCTTTCTTTTTATTTAAAAAACAATTGAGTACTTTTCTTCTAGCATGTATAAGAATTAAATGGATGGGGTTGAACTACACATACTTTTCACTGTTGAATGCCTTGATTTACTCTAAAGACAAAAGAGAAAATTACAGACAATTGAAAAATCTCTTTTAGAAGATTTTTGGATATTGGACAGTAGTATTCACATATAGAGAGTAGTATCTTATATAACAGTTGTTTTTGTTTATAATTATTCGCATAACTTTTGTGATGTATTTGAATTTGCTGTGAAAACATATCCACTTAATCAAACTGTTTTGGTATTTTTTTTAGATAAAAAAATTTATTAATATGGCTTTTATTTGACTTCTGGCACATGGGTTTGGTTTCTAGTCAATTACCAAGTCAGACAATATGGAATACTTTGTTGTGGAGGATCTTAAGAGGGACTGAGGGCTTAGCAGGAAAGAACCTCGTGTTTTCTGCAGTGAATACAAAGTGGAATATGATGCCCCCATGCAGCAAGTTTGCATGCCCCAGATGGAATATGAAAGATTTCTCTGGAGATTAGAAAGAAAATAGATAATATTTGTCATTTAAAAGTAAACCAGCATTATTTGTAAAAAGTGATTTAGCATGATTTCTGTATACATAATATGTTCTAAAGATCTAGAAACATTGATTAAAATGGAAACAGAATAGCATCTTTCAGTTTTATATTAATGCACATATTGTCAAAAGTTATTAATCAAGTACATTAATTTGTATTTTCTAGCATATTTTTATTGTTCCCACATAGAGAATGACTTAAAAGTAGAATGTTAACCACAGTAAGTAGTACTTTGCTAATAATTAAGTTATTCTAAAATATTCCACAGAAAACTTAATTTTCTAATATATTCGTTTCTTGAAAGAACTATATGAAATAAAAATGAAGAGAAATTTGTATTATAAGACTAATTTATAGATGTTATGCAATAAAAATGACCCATGAAGGTAAAAAGAAAGTAACTGTCACGTAGTAGGTACCCAAGAAATATATATAGAATATTGACCATGTATCAGTTTCTGACTAGCTGGTTTTTATATTTTATCTGACTGGTAGCTTTTAAAATGATCACAGTCCTGTGAAATAGACGGCACTATTCTTATTTTATCAATTTAACAAATAGCAAATTATTAAATTAATAAGCTGAGCCTCAAAAGGTAACTAACATGCTAAACATCACATACCTTTTAAACAGTGGAGGCGATTGCTTTGGATTCTCAAGTCCTTATATACTTCTGTGTTAATACATAATTTCCTGTAGGCAAACTAGGTATCAAGAAATGGAACTGTTTGCCAGAACAACTGTGAGAGTGCAACCTGGAAGACTAATGACATTCAGCAAAGGCATATTAAAATTCTTGATAAATTTAAGAAATGACTAAATTGATAGTATCATATATAACTGCCAACTAAGATCTTTGTCCCTTGTAAGATATTAATGAGGGACAACATTGATTGTTTAACTTGAGTTAGCCATCTATGAAAGTAACAGCAACAACTCATAATGTAGTGAGGAAAACTGTACGTAAGAGAACATGAAAACCCTTAGCATAAGTAAGCAACATCACAAATGAACTATTCTATAGTTTCAGTATGTCATAGTATCCTAAAGAGGATGAAGAGCCTGGATTATGCAGGAGGTAATAAGAATGATAAAGTAATATGATTTAGTGGAAGAGATTACAGGGGATAGTTTTATAGGTTCTATTTAAATAGGTCATTGATAAATACATTATGTTGTTCTATTAATTCTGTCTTAGGAAATTCTATTCTGAATTCCTTCTAGGAATGTCTGTTTGCTATGTTCAGTTTTCAATATAAAGTGTTCAAATAATAAAAATACCATATGTCTGTACTAGTTTCTGCTTCTTTTATTTGTATAGTTTAAATGTTCATTAAAGCATATAAAAATCTTTTCACTGAAAACAACAACTGGTAAGAGATCTTAAGTAAATAAGCCTCACTGTTGCCCCTAGTCTTAATTTTTATTCAAAGAATGACAAGGAATACTGGATTTGATGGACTTAGATCAAAAGACCATCACAAAAGCATTCGATGAGTAAGTAGCTTAAAAGCAAGAGAGGATGAAGTAGAATGAACTGAGAACCAATAGCCAAGGGATTCTAGGAGTATCCTCTAAATAGTAGTAGATTAATAGATCACCAAGAGTTAAGATATAGCGATAGAGGAGTAAAATTCCTCAATAGTACATGTTCTTCTGTGGTAGGTGTTACAAGTAGAGGGTTCAACTGATACATCTATGTTCTTATTTAAATGTACTCTGGCATCACAGTAAAAATGACCTTTTTATTTCTGAGAGAAATAAAACTCTACTGTCGAGCTTGAAGTTCAATTCCTGACTTGCCTCACTTTATCAGTCTCTCTAAGTGGGTTTCTGCCCTGGAACACTGATGAAAGCCAAGTTCCAAAACAGCAGCACCCAGCATCACTCAGTGTGAAAACATGTCTGCCTGAGCAGGCAGGAACGTGAATGTGGCCTACAGGCCAGAAAGAACAGTACAAAATGTGCGGTAGGGCCAGATGAACCTAAGTCAGGACTAAAATGCTAGGGGGTGTGTGTGTTTTGAAGAGAGATTATTTCTGCTTACGAGTTTCTGCTTGTCCTATTCTTGTTTTTAATTTATCTCATTCATTTAATTAATTCTCCTTTTAAGGCCTCTGGCATTCTTTTCATAAGCATGTTTTAAATATATTACCCAAGTAAGACTCCGCATTTTTGAAATAGGTTGTATCCAGGAGCATGCCATTTAAATATTTTCTAATTAGGCAGCCAGGAATTTTTCATTTGTCTGAATGTATAGTTCGGAAGGTAGTAATTATTTCGTTCATTGTTTG